TTTTTTTTTTTTTAATATTTATTAGGAAAGTTAGTGCGAACGACTGTACGCTTTTATTTGGGTCAGATATTCCATTCTCTCTTATTCGAGTTTGGGCCAATAAAAAAAAAATTATCGGGAGCTTAGTGAATTATGGCATTCTTTACAGGCATGACAATTAATATTTCTTCCTTATTCTGTTCAAAATTAAGAATCGTTATCAATGTTTAACAAGTAATATAAGCTTAAAAAATGACCATAAACTTTGCTTACGTGCATTTAATTTGTTATAAAATAGTCATTGAACGAACTCTCTAATTTTGCAAGAAATCAACACTTACCTAATCCAATTAAGATTTTAAAACTCACATATGATATTAGGTTAGATGTGATATCCTATAGAATAATGCAAAGCTATATTGTCGACTTTTCACTTAGTCAAAAAGTCTTATTGGTAAGAAGATTGTTCCTTGGTTTCAGTTATGATATTTATGGGGTATAAATTTGGCTTGTAGGCTCATGGCTCGACCCGAAAAAATCCCAATCGAACTGGCTCGTAGTTTGGAAGAATTAAGTCAAGGCTTGAGCTGAGCCCCACTTTGGGGCGTCGGCTCGAACCCAAGCGAGCCACCGTTTTCGATTTTTAACAAATAATAATAATAATAATAATAATAAAATAAAAAATAATAACAATAATAATAAATTAAGACAGCACGCATATTGGCAGCTGTCTTCATAGGCTATCAAGGTAGCAAGCCTATTAAGGCGGCAGTAGCTATTTTGATCGTATTTCAAATTTGATTGAAGCTGATATTTTTTTTTCTATAAATATGAGTTAAAATTTTGAAAAATTATGTAATTTTAATAGCTGATCGCAAGCTCCCAAAAAAGGATGAGGGTTGTTAACTTTATTTATTTTATAATTCGTACAAATTACACAAATTTTAAATTCTTTAAAAAAATATTAGATTTGTCGGGAATTAAAAAAAGAAAAAAAAAGGTTGTTCGGCTAGGCTTGTCTCAGCTAGCTAAGGCTTGAGTCCAAAATTAGAGTCAAGCCTTGATTTTTTGGCTGAGCCTCAACTCGGACCAAAGAAAGTGAAAATCATTTTTATTCGAATCGAGTCTGAACTTCGAGTTTCGGCTCGCGAGCCATCTCAACTTGAGTCGGCTCGTTGATAGCACTTTTCATTTGATTCATGATTATTTATGGAATAACGAATACAATTAAGCCTTTGTTCGCTATAAATAAAAGTTAGATATCTAGTAGATTTTGACAAAAATTAGTGGAATGTTTGATTGAAAAGTTGTGGTTTTATAAAATGTGTTATTAAAATTAATTATTGATTTTAATATTAATTTTAATATATATATTTTTAAATTAATAAAGAAGGACCACCAAGTGTCATGTCATTCATTCGCATGCCATTGGACGCAGCCTACATGACTTATTTTGTAAGTGTACAACTGATTTAAGTGATTGAAACTTGCTGTCATTCTTGATTTGAAGCGTACATAGCTAACTTTATACGTGCATAGAGTACAAAGCTTTTCTCTCTCATCCCCCGCTCCGCCCCACGCCACGCCAATATGTTCAATAGCTTGCTTCCAGCGGCAGTGTGGAGAGTTCGATTCCTAGTGGAAACTTGCGGCCAAAAAAGGCAGTGTGGAGAATTCGATTCCTGGTGGAAATCTACGGCCAAAAAATTTGGTATGGAGCAATCACTGTGAAGGAGGGTTTCTTGTGCGCAGAAATATACAGTCAATGGAGGGAACCTGTGATCCAGTTGAGGCATATTCCGCGATTTACCCCCTCCAAAGTTCTAGGGGCATGGGTCTTGAAGGTTCAGGATTTAGTCTAGTGTAAGTTGGGATACCTGGATATTAAAAAAAAAAAAAAAAGATTCAAAGAGGTTAGAGCAACAATAGAATAGATTTAAAAATCACCTCAAGAAAAATATTCATATGAAAATAGATTAGATTGTGTTAGATCAATTTGGCACATTTCACGTTTGATGGAGCACCAAAAATTTCTGATTCTGCTGAATTTAGGAGACTAGTAGATTATATTGTGTTCGATCAATTGCAATGACAATATGAGTAGAACTTCAATAATATAATGAAAATATTTATTGGGCGATGTGTCTTCTATTTTTTATATTTATTTTGATATCTACACATTGATACACATGATGTCATATATTTTTCTTAATCGAGGATCTAAAATACATTTTTCTATCTTCTTTTCAATAACATATTTCTAATTAAAATAATATTGCTCACACATCAAAAAATTTTCCTTCTTTTTTAACAAGACATTCTCCATCAATCTACTATTTCAAAATACATTCATAAAAAAAAAAAAAAAAATAGGGCTCAAATAGTGGATTCAATGACATTGAAACCTTCGAAGTATATAACTTGTCTCTTTCTTTTATTAATGCTTATTAGGTACATTTTTTATGTGAAAAATAAGTTTTTTAGAAAATATTTGATTAGAAGATAAGGAATAATTTTGAATTGTAAAGAATATGTGGTTAAAAATAATTTTGAATAAAAAGTTATTTTTAACAAATCTTTGGCAAACAAACTTTCTGAATGGGGTTCACATCTAACTATAAATATATGTCAAACGAATAAAGGCACTAATTCAACAAGCGGTGCTTTAAGCTCCCGTTTGGCTATCATTAATTTTCATTTACACAATTTTTCATAAAACAATATTATACGTAAATCGAAATTTTTTCTTTTTTTTTCAAACTACTCATTTTTCAAAAAAAATACTATTCTACTTATTTTCATTTCTACAAAATGGGGCCGAACGGATGAGTCGTCGAGTACATTAAAAATAAAACTCGACAATACCTTCAAAATTATCTCATTTTTGGGAATCGACTATACGTTGACGTGTCCACTTTAAGTCGGCAAAATTTCATAAATGTCAAGCTAAAAGGATAAAGAAGAATTAAGAAAGAAAAGTAGAGAAACAATAAAACCAGAAAAAGGGGGACGCAACACGTGAAAGTCACGTGAAGATTCTTATTCCTTTTCTGCAAAAATCAGATAAACCCAAACGCTAGATATGATTCATGTCCAAAGCATATTCGCCACGTTTACATATATTCCCATGCGTTGCAATACAACTATTGGACCAACTTCACATCACCGGGCTAGAGCTCGCCGGAGTTCACGAGCCAACAAAGTTGGTGCACTCAGGTGTGGCAAATGCCCCTCCACGTTCAACATATGCACCGTGCTCCGCCCTCCGAGGTGGCTCTTTAGGTACGTCGCCACCGATGTCGGGACAGAAGCATCCCTGGTGGTCTGAATTATCGAACATGGCACTTTTACTAGGCCTAGTACTCCCCTCAGATCACTATTAAATACTGTGCGAGCGACGAACAGCGTTATGTCTGGCCTCATATTGAACAAAGTGCGGCTGAATTCTTGGACGGCCGCCGGAACATCCGCCCCCACCGCCAGCGGAGCAAAACCGTTGACCCACGCTTCGTAATTAGCCTCCATTGCGGAGAACACTTCCTCAATTTCTTCGTGTTCGAATCCGCCGTGGTAGTCTTTATCATTCAAGAACCTTGAATATAAAATTGAGGATTAATTTCGATCAGTATGGTCAAATAATCATGAATTACATGTTTGAAAATTGTGACACCACTTTATGGGAATTGAATTAGAACAAGAAAAGACACAAATTCCATCTTTGGCCTAGAAAAAACCCCTCCAACATTTCCTATTTTTTTCTCCGGCAAAAGAAATGAAACACATGTATATAGAATCAAGATAAGCAGCCACTTTATTGTAATTACCTTGGAGTGGCACCGATAAGGATAAGCTTAGTGAAGAGCTCAGGGCGTTTAATGGCGGCAAGAATCCCGATCATGGCCGAGACGGAGTGGCCGACATGGGCGCACTGGTTGATCTCAAGCGCGTCAAGTATGTTGAGGAGGTCATCGACGTGCGCGTCGAGGGAGGTGTAACGGCGGAAATCAAAGAAATCAGGGTTAACACTGCCGGCACAGACGAGGTCATAGAGCACGATACGATAATCGTGCAAGAAAAACGGCAGAATGCGCTGCCATGCGGATTGATCAGTGCCTAAGCCATGGGCTAAGACGAGGATATTCTCACCAGAGCCCACCACTCGCACGTTCAAAGCTCTTAGCACGCTTTGTCCCATGTTTTGACAAAGAATATGGTTTAAGATTAGTTGAATGAGTGGCTGTTGTGACTTCACAAGAATGAGCCACAGCCACTGTTTGCACTAAATAATGTTTGCGGGGGGTGGGTGGCTTGGGGGTTCACATAATTTAATGCTCTATGGAGACTTGGTGTAGTATTTATAATAAGATTTACAAGTATCTATCTACTGGGTAGGTTCTTACTTTGGAAATCTATGCTAACATGACTTGATTTTTTGTTTGAAAATGTCACAGTTGATTCTGGATTGGGTATTTTTGTTATATGAGTTAGGGTTTTTCATGTGCCCTAGCGTAATGGAAGTGTTCGATGAATTTTAATCGACTATTTGATGATAATTTCATACATCGTGTGAATAAATCCCATCGGCCGAAAATCAGTGACTGGTGTTCTTGGTTGAAAAGAATAGCTAGTTATTAGCATAATAATGAACCTCGACTATTTAAAAAAAAAAATGATTTAATAAAAAAGAGAGGGCGATTTGAACCTAGCCTCATTTGGTATTGATTAAAAGCAATTTTTTTTTATTTATAAAAGTTAATGAAATGTGTAATTAAAAATGTATTTTAAATCGTCTTATTGGATGGATTGTAGATGCTTCATGAAGCGTCTTTTCATTTTATACATGCTAGCTCCACTTTCTTCATTGAAATAGAGCTCTACTCTTTTAATTGAATCGTGTTAATTACAATTAGATGTCTAATTATGCTGCACACACCTAAAAACATACAAGTGCTGTTAACATTTTTATTTTCTATATGATACATAGGGGATATGGTCCATTATTTAAAATCCATCTCGCGATTTGAATAGGAACCTTAAACTAATTAAGCTGAAAAAACATTGATATTAGAAGTAGAACTTAAATATAAAATAAATAAATTCCATAAACTAAGTAAAAAATTATTGAAGCAATCGTGACATGATTTATGGACACTTATGACCATTGGAAGAGGGATAATGGTTGATTGAGATTTGACAAGCAAATAAATATTGTAGGAAAGCATGCAAATCGAGGCTAGTTAGGATGAAAGACGACTCTCCCTTATGTTTTGAAGTCACAACAACATAATATTTCTTGCAACAAATATCGCAAAAAAATTCGGAATACATACAATCAACTCAGATTGAACTAATCGGTGACAAAAATAGCATATGAAGTTAGATGATGGGTTACATTATTCGCTTGCCGCAATCTCAATCACCTTTATTTTATGTTTTTCATTTCGACATACGTTTTTATCCAACTATTTATCTATTTTGGCATGGAGGAGGCCCTTTATTAAATTGAGCATAACACCATTGGCTGATCTTTTTCTTTAACTTTTGAAGAAAAGAAAATTTTGTGTATATTCTTAATTTATCATTAATGATTTGATATTCTTCGTAAATCAATAAATTTTTTATTCTTTAAATTCAAAGTATTTTTAAAAGCGTTACCTGAATTAATGAATGATGAAACCTAACTAGTCAAATTTAACTTTTTTAACTAATCTATAATCATAAGTCATTATGTGAACATTAATATTCAGTATCTAAATCATTCCATTATAACTTTCTAACTAATCATAACTGCTTTGAACAAAATCTCCTATGGTCTCACTCAAGTTATCATGAATAGTAAATGAGATATATGCATAATGAGGATAACTATATATCGGTACACTTTTCTTAAAGTGTTCAACGATATAATTGTTCATATTTTTCTAAAAATTATTTATGCTTTCTTATGCCATTTATAATAGTAATTGATGTATTACGTGCATAGACGACCTTTTGAATCTATTGAAAGAACTTATTTAATAATACTAAAAATTATTCGAATGAAAGACGTGATTTGATATCTCATCCTTATCACATTCTTATTTATTTGTTCTTGACATGCCAACAGACATCCCTCCCACATTAAACGTGTATATTGTTTTGAGTTTATTGAAGGATTGCACTATTGTCAACCTAATATGTCCAAATCCTAACAATTATACCTCTAATAATATGTTATCTATGTTGCATATAGGAACTTGTTAGCACTTAAAACTCCTTGTAATCTTTATGCATGAGAAATATCAAACCAAGCTATGAAACTCTATCCAAATTTCATTTCATTCATCACACCTAAAAAATCACAAGTGCTTGTAAACTTGTACGGCCAGCTTTTATAATTACAAAATTTGTGAATTTGGATCTATCCTAGTAAAATAATATCAAACTCACATTATAACTACATATATATCACGTGTTTGAGATAATTTTTTTTTTAAATATATTGATAAAAATTAGTGGTGAATATATGGATAGTACTTGTGGGTCTTATGAAATATGCGGAATAAAAAGTGAGTTGATGTTTATAAAGATGAGTCAAATATGAATAATTCTATTTGCAGTCACTCGTTATCATGGTCGTCTTACGTGACATACATGTGATTGTCAATAATTTGATATATTAATGTAATAATTTTTTATTGCCTCATACATTAAACCATTAATCATCATATGTATGCCATGTAGAACGATTATCGTAATGAGCAACTGAAATAGTATTATTCGTCAAATATAGACTTAATCAGCTCATCACTTACCAATATAAGTTTCATCGAGTCCATTACTCCAAACTACAATTTTGACATTAAAAATCAATTAAACAAATTAAGAAAGCCAATTTAATAATAAATAGAAAATATATCTCAAAGATATCTTCCCAAAGGTGTTAAATTGTTAATAGTCGATATTAGCATATGATAATTCTTCTACGTCAAATTCAAAATCATACTAATGAAAATTAATGGGAGAGGACTTTTTCAACTAGCAGTATCAACTAATTATTTACTTATTAGTTAGTCATAACATTTTAATTACTTCTTTTGAAATTAAATGAAAAATTTGTTAAAAATGTTCAAGCGCAGCGGTGCAGAGACAGGATGAAAATTGGTTTCACCTACAATACTAAATTTTATGTACTATAGTCTCCTTTTAATTGATGTTCCTTAAAAAGAAAAAAGAAAAAGAAAAAAAAGGAGCAATCGTCCCTCCTTTTCTTCAACAATTAACAACCTTAATCATATGCCTTATTCACTCTTTTTCTCGCCATTACAAGGACAGTAGGGTTCTATATCGAAATTTCTCATTGAGATTTTCAAAAAAAAAATATACCTCTTCATAATGTCAAGATACTTGGACAGTAATGATTGTCGAGTTCACAAGTCGAACTTAGGGATATTAGTGAATTAGGGACTATATGAGAAAAAGTGTTAGTTGGACATGCTTGAGAAGCCTATGTCTCTAGTACTCATGTAACAAGCACATGATATATTATTGTTTCTCTTATAATTAAAAAAATAACTTTACTTCCCTCTAACATTTTATGCATTTTATGAATTCATTGAAAATAATAAATATATTAGGTGATCGCAATGGGGGAGTGTAAGGGTAACGACGAGAAACGAGCTGAGCAAGACGACTCAGTAGATGCAGTCAATTCTAAAGATTAGTCATGGCTTGATCTTGTGCACTTGTATGTTTAGACAAAAGTTTGACTTTTAAATAGATATTCTAATTACGTGTCAAATCAAATGGACCCTTATAAGTGGATCATATGGTCCAACTATTTTAATGTGGATGTCCTTTGAAGGAAAAGAAAATAATAATATAATATGAATAATATGAATTTATAATTTGATGATCAAGTCAATTCTACGAGTATTAGTCCATTTCACACTAGACTAGACAAGAATACGATTTAAATTCTCGATCACTTAAGCCTATCAAAATAGATAATATATATTAACATATGTAATCCTTGCGTCATTCCATTTTATTTAGAATTGAAAATAGAAATTGACGTATAATTTTAAAATTAATGAAAAAATGGTATAAAAGATCGTGATAAACAGTTTCTACAGATAGAGGGGAATAAAGATAATGAACAGGTTTTTGAAGGTAAAAGAGAATAACTAACAACTTTTTCCTTTCTCCTATTATCAAATTTGATGATGAAAGCTACCAAAGAAAGCCAACAAAAATGCATTAAGAAAATGGGAAGAGAAAAGATTTGGTGGTAGACAAAACTCAAAGATAAGACACTTTGTAAGAACACGACAACTGAGATGAATGGTTCCAATTAACCAACTAAATTTCATAATCGATTGCTATCCAAATGTTTTGTTCAAATTGTCAATTAAAATTGAAAGAAGCCATGCCCAAAACTATTCTTTCGAAGTTCATTTTACATGGAATATACACTGTTGAATGAAAAGACAGTAATAGTGGTAATATATAGAAGAATCTGATTCAATGGAGGTAGCAATTGTACCTCTAAAAAATATATTCTTGCTCCCTCTTCTTCTTGTTGCCGCATCCTATCCATACCCCTTCAATTGACAATCTTATCATCTAATTATGGTAGCACGCCTCTTCACGTATGGATAGGTTAAAATGTTTGACGAGTACACAATGTTATGTTTAAAAGCTGACGATGTTTAAACCCTAAAAAGATATCTACTCTAACAAAAATTAATGTTCTCGTTTCAAAGTTTACATGATCCTATGTTGAGTTTCTAATAATCGCACAAATTTGAAAGGGGCCTCTCTAATTTACTTTTATCGTTTCAGCCTTATAGTTTCCTCAAAATTTTCTTTGAAGTATCCTATGTAACTTAGGGTTTGGACTAGAAAAGTGTCTCATAAATGATAGTATTATAACGCATAAGAGTTATCGTTAATTGTAAACCACATTAAATATAATAATGTAAGTGAGGACACGAGATAGAAAGTAGAAGATAAGATGCAGGTGGGTTTGGGGCCCTATTGCCAACAACAATGGCATACTGAAGTACAATGACATTATCTATTTTTTTTTATTTATCTTTCTTTATTTGTTTTTTCTTCTCTCTCTCTCTCTCTCTCTCTCTCTCTCTCTCTCTCTCTCTCTCTCTCTTTTTAAGCTTTTATTCTATTTAATTCAAAATCATTCGCTATGTGGATGTGCTAGAAGTTTCCCGTGAGTATTTTTTTCTTCTACTTTTATTTTTTGGCTGAAGAGGATAATCTTCAAATTACAAGGTCTTTTATATCCAAAAAGAAATACAAGCTAATCATACAAGTTTTTTTTATGTATC